TAGGCAAGAATTCAAAAACAAGTGTTGTTTGTACTTTATAAGTAAAGATATATATTAAGCTAATGACTATATTGTTGGTGTCAGCAAAACTAGAAAGGTTTATGTTTTATCAGTATTAGTCCTTAACATCCTTCATATTTTGAAACAAATACCTCAAATTAATAAACTGTTATTAGGTTTTTCAATTCTTAAGTTATTTTCAGACTAGCCCTTCAAATCATTTAAATTAGTTGTAAGCCCCATCAATTGATTCTTAAAGTATTTTTCACAACATAGTAATTGGGACGTTAGCTTGAAATAGCTTTTCAAATCGGGCATCTCATAGCAATTTTCAATGCTTCGGAGACTAAATTCATAATAGCATAAAATTTGGAGGACCTCATAGAAATTTCATGATTTAAAATAGAAAATAGAGATCCAAAAACATAAGACCCTATAAGTGACAGGTGAAGTGTCGTCTCTCTGTCTCATGATGCACTGTTCATAAACAATGCATCAAGGGACAGAGAGCCGACACCTCACATATCTTATGTAGGACACTATGTTTTTGGGTTCCTGTAGCACCACCCTTTTAAAATATAAAAGATGGAAGGGGCTAATATTGGGGAAGAAAAAAAAAAGAAAGAAAAAAAAAACAATTACATCTGCGTGCGCAAATCTACACAGCACTATCGAGATTAACGTAATCCCGTGTGGGGCCCACACGGAAATATTTTATGCGCCGAGCTCTTTTTCGTGCACTTTGGAAAAAAGATGAGTTCGGACGGACATTGGAATAAGACGGTTCGGATTCTTTCCGCCTTAAAGCTAATAAGATTTTCAAGGAATTAGTGTTTAATTAATTTTCATTAAAAGGCAACTTACCTTCTGATAGTTTGTCGTAATGTAGAATACGTAAGAATCCAATAAGATTCTAGAAGAACAACTGTGGGGACATACAAATCTATTTCTTTATACAAATAGGAGGATCAGGGATTCACTGTCCATGCTACAGTAAATGCTACAGTAGCATTATTACTGTAGCCAATAATTAAGTAAAAACGATACTGTAGCACACGGGTATACTGTAGCATTTGAAAGGTACTGTAGCAGAGCGGGATACTGTAGCACTTTCAAAAATTCAAATCATGCCGTATTAAAAAAGCGGGATTACTGTAATAAAAAAAACCGTGCTTTGCACGGACCGCAAACTAGTGCTAAGGAATCATGGAAAGTTGCCCTTCTTTTATAGCTTCGTTTTTTAGGGAATTTTTTTTGTTTGTTTAGGGGTGAAAGAAGAATTGGCCGAAAAAAAAATGAAAGAATTGATAATTTGTTATCCATTTCCCCCCTTCTTAAATGCATGTTATTTCTTTCTTTCAAATTTAAAAAAAGATATTTTTCATATATGCCCCTCGAATTATAGCATTTTTAATTTCGCCCACAAAATAATTTTATTATAGTAATTTCTCTTACCCCTCAAATTCCAGCCCTTAATATTAGAGCTTAGGATATTAAAATGCAATCAACCCTCTCATATGAAATACGACACAGAGATTTTTAATGTGTATTGCAATTTGCACACGTAGCAATGCTAGTATTTATTATACCTACATTCCCCGTTTTTCTTAGAAAACAAATTTAAGTAAAATTTGAAGTTATCAATATATTTTAGCATACAAATCTTTAGAATTACGGCGTGCTAATACATAACTGATGTAGAACCCTTAACAGACAATTTTATGGAGGATTCGGATAATCACGAGCTAAATACAGATTTATATATTTTATTGACTTCCGCAAAGAAACAATCATATCTTCCAACCCAGAAGGCGGATTCTGACATATTATATATGTAAATCGCCTATCTCGACGAGACAGAGCCAACTAGATCGTCAGATTTTTAAAATCTCATCAGTACTACCCAATTTTGGATAAATTTCAAAAATAATCATATTTTAGTTTATTTTTAGTAATAAAGTTGGACTCTATTTAGATTAGGAAATAAATTCAATATTATAGTCGAATTAGATTATGAACAAATTCAATTTTGATTCATGATTTGTTTTATCTATTATAGGGAGTCTTTTTAGGATAGAATTTGATAATTTCTATTTCTTTGTAATTCTAGTCTTACTAGGAATCTTATTTATTTTTCTATTTAAGAAGAGTCATGTAACCCCCAAAGAATAATATCTTTTAATCAATAATTTTTTTAAATATTTTCTTCGTGGATTCGGAGATCGTTCTTTGTGGATTCAGAGAACACCCTTGGTGGATTCCGAGATTTTACTTCCGTGTTGCGTCAATTGGTATCAGAGCCAGATTCCTCTGACCAGATGACAGACGATTGTTAAATATAGTAAAGTCTGTTAAATATAGTAAATTCAATGTGTAGAAGGTCATTAGATATCGTGGCGTAAATCCACGACAAGGCCGTGGCATCAAGAGTAGCCCACATGTCGGCATCCTCCTCCTCGACCGTGGCCTTCGCTTTGTCTTCCGGAGGAGGGATGATGTGATGGAGAACCTTGTTCGAACGTGCATGAACCTTGAACAACTCCGCCCATGTTGAGTATTGCACGTTTTCCATCTCGAGAATAATAGGAATATGATTCCTAATGTTAGAGACAGCAAGAGCTGGGTGAAAATTTCTAGATTGAGACATCGTTGCCGGAGAAAGACAAACGACAGGGAAGAAAGAAAAGAAGAAGAATAGGGGCGGAAAGCACAGATAGGGCGTAGCGGAAAGAGATCGAGAAGAAAAACCCTATCGCTCTGATACCATGAAAGAATGTTTTGGTTGCCTTTCTCATTATCAATCGTCAGAATATATACACAAGATTGTAGCATAATCTTAGGCTACATATCAGGAAACTAATTATATACATTGACTGATTTTAGGCTGGAGAATAGGAGGCTAATTATACGGTTAACCATATACATTGACTTTACTATATTTAACAGACTTTACTATATTTAACAGCGATGAAACCTCTATTTCTCAAACTAAGTTTGATGAGTTGAAGACTGATGTTAATCAGATGAAGACTGCCATAGAGTGACTTGCATCGGTAGTGGAGCTTCTGAACACGGTAGAAGTTCGAAATTGCGTTGAAGGTCGCCAGCGACGTGATCCGACTCCACAGGATGAATTCAACAGCGACAATGACCCTAAGCAAGACCTTGGAGTTGGGAAGAGCACTAAAGAAGCAATAAAGAAAGAAGAACCACATTCAGAACATAATATCTTAAGCACGAGATACATTGTGATGTAGAAGGTTTGTGATGTTATCATTGATAGTCATAGTGGCAAGAATCTTGTCTCTCGGCGTATGGTGAATAAGTTAGGTTTGAAGACAGAGAAACAACCACCTCTCCACAAGATGGACTGGATTCACAAGGGTAGTGATGTGCAGAACGATGAGATGTGTCGGTACCTTTTTCTATCGACCGCAGTTATGTTGATGAGGTTTTGTGTGATGTGGTCAAGATGGATACTTGTCATATGATTTTAGGTAGGTCATGACAATTCGATATTGGAGCTAACCATAGGAGCAGAGACAATCCTTGTATCTTCAAGAAAGATGGGCGTCGAATTGTACTTCTACCTCTTACAGAAAAGGAGCCATCTAAGATAAAGACTACTGGGAAGAAGAGACTCTTGGTAACAAACAACGAGGCTTTAGGAGAAAACTTGAAGCAATCTGAAGAGGTCTATGACTTGATTGTAACTGAAAAAGAAGAACCTGCCCTACCGAAATTCCTCCTAAGGTGTAAACACTCAATATACATGAGATTCATGATGCTGATGGGGATATGATAGTGAAGATGAATATTATGCATGATATTTTCAGAGAAGTTATGAGCGACATTACACATATTAACCATGTCTTGATGGAGGTGAATGATAAAATAGAGAGTGAGGCAATTGATGGTATGTGTGAATTGATTGGTAGAGGGCTCGAGGCAAAGAAGATGAAAGAATTATGTATGGAGTATGAGGGAGAAAATTCTTTTTTGGAAGCAATGATCATCAATAATTTTAACAACGATGAGATGATACCATCGACACTAGAATATGGGAAGCAACATGGAAAATATTTGGAAGAGTTTCATATCAACTACAGAGCCATATGCTGCCAATTATATACACATGTCATGGGAAAGATTTATACACAAGTTTGATACAGAAGAAGTCCTAGCAGAGAAGGTAAAAAAAAATCAATGCTAAAAACAAGGCGGATGCCGATCATTGCAAGAGAAAAAAATTATTTAATAGTGAAGAAAATATAAGCTCAGGGTTAAGATTCTTTCAACAATGGGAGACTGATGTAGGACGCTTAACAGACAATTTCATGAAGGATTCAGACAATCACGAGCTAAATACAGATTTATACGTATTATTGACTTCCGCAAAGAAACAAACATATCTTCCAACTCAGAATACGGATTCTGACATATTATATATGTAAACCGCCTATCTCGATGAGACGGAGCCAACTATATTGTCGGATATTTAAAATCTCATCGATAATACCCAATTTTAGCTGAAATCTGAAAATAATCAGCTTTTAGTTTAGTTTTAGTAATAAAATTGGAGTCTATTTAGATTAGAAAATAAATTTAATATTAGAGTCAAATTAGATTAGGAAACAAATTTAATTTTGAATCATAATTTGTTTCCTTTATTATAGAGAGTGTTTTTAGGATAGAATTTGATACTTTCTATTTCTTTGTAATTCTGGTCTTACTAGGAGTCTTATTTATTTTTCTATTTAAGAAGAGTCATGTAACCCCAAAGAATAATATCTTTTCATTAATAAAAATTCTCTTTTAATATTTTCTTCATGGATTCGTAGATTATTCTTTGTGGATTCAGAAAATATCATTGGTGGATTCCGAGGTTTTACTTGGTGGATTTCGAGGTTTTACTTCCGCACTGCGTCAATAACACAAACAAATCATTGTTGGGTCCCAGACACAAATAAGACCCGGCTGATGACAACACAGTAATTTTGACACAGTGCTCTATCCTTGATCCTATCAACATCTCATGGAAAAATCAAGCAACCCCTTCTCTCCTCTCTATAAATACACATAGATCCTCAACCACAAGCTCAAGTCCTAGACGAACAAAGAAACATGTCAAACTCAATGGCTATAGAGAGCTTAGAGCAAGGAGAAGGAGAGTACGCAAAGGATGGCTCAGTTGATCTCAAAGGCAACCCTGTTCTCAGATCAAAAAGAGGAGGATGGACTGCTTGCTCTTTTGTAGTGGGTAAATATATATATTTTTTTCCAATCCATTTCATAGCCTTCTTCTCTTTTCTTGTCAATAACTTACCTGAATAAACTTATGCAGTGTATGAAGTATTTGAGAGGATGGCATATTATGGGATATCATCAAACCTGGTGCTGTACTTAACCAACAGGCTTCATCAGGGAACTGTTGATGCTGCAAATAATGTCACAAACTGGGTAGGGACTGTGTTCTTGATGCCGATACTTGGAGCTTATGTCGCTGATGCTCATCTTGGACGATACTGGACCTTTGTCATCGCATCCGCCATTTATCTCCTGGTATTGTTTGCCTGCATATATATATATATATATATATATATATATAGATTTTTCATTTATCTCCTGGTATTGTTTGCCTGCATATATATATATATATATATATATATATATAGATTTTTCATAATTTTGATTTTCATCATTACAGCTTGTTCATGAATTAACCAATAAGGAAAAAAAATCAGTTCTTAATCCTTTTCGACTTTTCTTTCTTAATTGTACAAAGTACCCTGCTCAACTAATTCCTTGTCATATAATAACTGCAGCTATTAACAGGCAGTTGGAATTAGCTTTATCACGAATTAATCAACTAGAAAAACATTTTCCTATCAACTTCGGTTTCTTGAATATAAGTTAATAGCTTAGGTACCTGATGGACCCACTGCGGATAACCTGGACGGTTGAGAGGTTTCGATATAACTCACATGGTCTGTCTTAGGTTCGGTTTCGGGCTAGGTTATTAAATTAAAAAAAAAGAAGAAGTTTAGGCACCTGATGGGGATCATTTAAGAATTAATGCTTCATGGGCATTTTCAAACTTAGCTAGTCAAGGCCAAGTCAAGTAATCTCTTGTTCCCTAAATATATATGTATATATGAGAATAGAAATTGTCACAAACCAAAAAGGTGAGAGAAAAATAAATTGGCATAAATGGTTCTCTCTATTTCAACGATTTCCCAAGTGTACTAAAACCTCAATTTGACATCAAGCGTAGTAGTTGCAGGAAGAACAATACCAAGTGGTCATCAAATGATAAGGATTCACACCAAAAGCATTAATTGTCTTCCGATGGCTGCATTCATAAAAGAAGGCATCCTTCCATTCTGTCAAAAACAACGCTAACTAGTTCAAGTCCAACAAAAGTACAAGTCACATTCTCTTGTTTGAATATGCAAAAGCTCTGCTGTAATCAGATACCCGTTATCTCCGAGTCGAGCTACATCAAGCCCGAATCTTGTCACAGCACGCTAAAATGCGATTCGTGATCAAACTCAACTGACCCGTCAAAATCGTAGCGTCAAAGTCATATAACAGGAGGACCTTTTTGGTGTATTATGCTCGCGCTCGCGCGCACACACGCGCAGAGAATATATACTTTTACGGTATACGTTTAAAGTTAATAATGATATTGGCCTGATAGCATTTTGATGTTTCAGTTCAACTTTATGCCCTTCACTGCTTCACACAGTACGTTTCTTTCGATAGGGACCAGTTCATAGATCTTCACATTGAAGATGCTGGTATATAAAGATATTCTCACCGCGGTCACCTCTCTCAATCCCCATCCATCGGAAAAGGGGGGAGAGGCCCAACTTTCCGACCGAATTGATCCTACAAACTTGATCCACCTAACGCGAGCATGTGAACTTTATCGTCCAGCTATACGAGTCACACAAACTTGCTGTCATCGCGTGCCTGACTGATTTCAGTTTGTGGCTACAATCCAAATAAGCAGCATGGGAAAAATTTTAGGCAGCGGTAATAATGGAGGTTTGGGCCCACCCATCTTCGTTGACTTAAGCTTGACAATAATAAAATTTTTATAATGAAGTGATCGGTAGTTCAATGGAAACAAATCTTTAGTTATCGTCAAATGATATCACCCCTGAAAAAGTATGGGAAAGGTAGAAGAATACAAGGAGGAGAAACAAAGGTCATCCGGGTCAAATGATGGGGAAACAAAAAGTAACGGTGGATATAAAGGCTGTAAAGATTAGAAAGAGAGCAACAAACATCACAGGATCCTCTTAACCAAGCCTTTTCCTCATTGGATATGAGACGAGTCGTTTCCACCATCTGTTGAAAAAAAAAAGGCACGATTAAAGGGTGGAAGCATATGATGGTGCAATTATTGATAACGGACCTAGCGCACATGCGGCTGTAGGTCTTCTTGATTCCCACTGTTGGAGCCTTCTAAGAGCAAGTGCAGCAAACTCCTAGTTAGGAGTGCTTGTTGGAGAGCTCTCAAGAGCTCTCAATACCACATCACATGGGTTTTTGTGTAAAATTGGGTTTTTGTGTAAAAAATCTCTCTTTTAGTGTAGCTCACGGCTAAAAATAGGGTTTTGTGTAAAAAATTTGTTTTTTATTCCTTAGGAGCTCCCAAGCGCTCCACAAATTTGTGGAGCGCTTGGGAGCTCAACTGGGCCCCACCTCCTACATGATGTCCACATCAGCCTAAAGAAGCCTCTTAGGAGCTTGCCGGGGCGTTTGCAGCAGGCTCCCACTGCCACCTCAGCGTTAGGAGCTGGGGTGAGAGCCTGCTGCACTTGCTCTAATGATCATGCAATCGAAGTAGGCATCCAACCACACGTTATTGACCTACGTGTCGCTATCCTTCGCGATACAAATAATCCATGTGTCCCTCCCCAGGGAAATACTAATTCATGTATTGTGTTGCTCAGAAAGAATAACCTCCTCCCACCACACAATGGAGAGAAGAAATATGGCACACAAATGCACAACGAGAAGCAAAATCCCACCCAAAACCAAACAAATAGGCTCTCTTCAATGTCCAGTATCCCGTTCACGCTGACGACGCGCAAGGCAGGACCAAACAAACTTGATATTTGTGGCAGAAGCAAAATCCGATTCGCCTTTTGGGTATATAAAGAGAGAGAGGCAAAGTCAAGAGGGTTAGAAAAAGGTTTATATTCTCTAAATGATGTGATTTAAAGATCCAGGCATATGACAGTACAAGTATTGATTCTAGGCCGAGCCCTGGCACTTCTACCGCCCAAGATCCTCTCTTTTTATATTGTTTAGAGGTACTTTTAGTAGAAATTTTCAAATTTAAACCTAAAAGCCACTGATTAAGGGGATCTTCAAGCAACTCCTCAGGCAGGAGCAGTCACATGGATATGTATAGATCAAGTAGGTCATTTATCTTCCAAACCTTGGAGTTCATGGCATGCAAAATGTAGAATGCATCTTTTAGTGAATGATGGACTTGCTTTATACAACAGATAGATATCAAGAATCCATTCGTGCAATAAAAGAAGAGCAATGACCAAAGATTAACAAACATTGTTTGTGATGCTAGGGCATGAGTCTGCTAACCATTACGGTTTCTGTACCGCCGCTGAAGCCCCCTCCATGCTCAAGCAACTGCGAGCCCGCTTCAGGTCTACAGCTAGGCACATTTTTTGCAGGACTGTACATACTCGCGCTGGGAAATGGCGGGACCAAACCAAACATCTCAACAATTGGTGCGGACCAGTTCGATGATTTCGACCCTAAGGAGAGGGCTCACAAGCTTTCCTTCTTCAATTGGTGGATGTTCAGTATCTTCCTAGGGACGCTATTTGCTAATACCGTCCTCGTATATTTGCAAGATAACGTGGGCTGGACTGTGGGCTACGGGCTTCCTACACTGGGCCTTGTGATCTCTGTAGTAATTTTCTTAGCAGGCACACCATTTTACAGGCATAAACTGCCGCAAGGGAGTCCATTTACTAGGATGTCTAGGGTCATTGTCGCTGCAACAAGGAAATGGAGCGTTCCCATTCCTAATGATCCTAAGGAGCTCCATGAGTTGGATTTGGTGGTGTATAAAGAGAAGGGGAAGTTTAGGGTTGACTCAACATCTTCCATGAGGTGGGTAAAACTTTGTCAATGGCATTTCTTCAACCGTTGCAGAACAATAAAACACTTGCTAATTTTACTTCACTGACAGGTTCCTAAACAAAGCTGCGGTAAAAGTTGGCCCAGGAACTCCATGGATGTTGTGTTCAGTAACGCAAGTGGAAGAGACGAAGCAAATTCTCCGAATGCTACCGCTGCTGGCTACAATGTTTATTCCGTGCACGATGATTGCACAAATTGCCACCCTCTTCGTGAAGCAAGGTACCACATTGAACCGACACCTTGGACCAAAGTTTGAAATTCCTCCAGCTAGTCTCACAGCATTTGTCACACTATCTATGCTCATTGCGCTTCCACTCTACGACCGTTTCTTTGTGAGGATGATGAAGGCTTGGACAAAAGACCCTAGGGGGATCACTCTCCTCCAGAGAATAGGAATTGGGCTAGTTTTGCATATCATTACCATGGCAATCGCAGTTTTGGTAGAAAGAATAAGGCTGAGGACTGCTAGTAGCCATGGGTTAGTCGAAAATGGGGGGCAAGTCCCGTTGAGCATCTTTATCCTGCTGCCTCAGTTTGTGCTTATGGGCGTAGCTGATGCTTTCTTGGTCCCTGGAGAGGTTGAGTTATTCTATGATCAAGCTCCAGAGAGCATGAAGAGTTTGGGGACTTCATACTCTTTAACTGCATATGGGGTAGGCAACTTCCTTAGCAGTTTTCTCCTATCAGTAGTCTCTGACGTCACCAAAAGAGACGGAAAGGGATGGGTACAGAATAATCTGAATGCCTCACATCTGGACTATTACTACGGATTCCTCACCATCCTTAGTATCCTAAACTTCATCTGCTTCATCTACGTCAGTAAGATCTATACCTACAAGGCAGAGAAATTTGAATCAGCAACTGTATCGCCGGACGATGAAGATGAAATAAATGTCGTCAGACAGGAAAATGCCTAAAGCCAAAAGGCTATACTTCGTTTGTTAAATGTCAACAGGACTATGTGAAACATCTTTTGTGATCTAAACTTATGAAATACTATCAAGAGCAATTTACATTGCTTTTTGCCCCCAGCAAATAAGGATATCTTAAATTCTTCTAGTTATCTCTAATTTTGATATTTAACGTTTCTGGGGAAATCAATATTTAATATAGTTGCGTTACAATTACAACAAAAAACTTTTCACAGCGAAGTTGAAGCAAGACAGAAGATAATTTGTTATTAGAGATAGAACTTATATTCTACAATAATAAAAATGAGTAATAGAATCATCCTACAGAATGGTGCTTAAAAATAGTAAGAAAACTACAGTGAAAAATTATATATAGAACATTACAAAATCGTCTATACCTAAAGTCCTAAACTAGCATCCGATCTTCATATTTGTCCTCGTTGCATTAGGCATGAAAGGTTCTAAACTCTAGCAGAAACAACAGCATGTGCTTCATAAAATCAATAACGCAATAACGCTGACTAATGCAACTTCAATCCAGAGTTGCTCTCCCCACTAATTGTAACATCAAATTGCAAGCTCCCTGCCAAATCATTTGAACACAGGCTCAGTGGTATTTTGGTGCCTCTATAGATTCTAACTCTTGATTGAAAGTGAAGTTGAATGACGCAACACTATACATCTAATAGTTATTTGGTACTGCACTAGTCAACTATAGTATTAAATTAATAAATATGGACCATACAAGTGGGGATGACAACAAACTCAATAAACATAGGATCACACATTAAATGCTTGTACGAAAATTAAAAAAACTCAAGCACCCAGTCCTGATAGATAAAAAGTACAATTTTTTTTTTGAGTTGTTAGGCAGACAAAAAAATGCTAAGATATGGTATATCTCTGGAGAAATTATAAGAACTATCATTCAATAGCCAAGCAAAAGTGAAACATGTATACCTAAGAGCACAAAGAAGAAATAGTAGCACAAAAAGCACCTCAAGAACTATTATATATGGAGAATCATATTAAATACTATTTTGCATTAAGACCTACATGAACAACTTTTAGTAGATCACGCAGCAACAAACAAATAGTATAGTGCAAACAGATTCTATCATAGGATCAGCACATGAAAATATCAACTACTCTAATGCATAATCTAGAGCATATGGGGAAAGGTCCTTGATTCATCTCTTTTCATCACCAAACTCTTTGGGTTGCGACCCATTTCATCATCGGATTAGGAGACAAACGCATTACTTACTCTACTGCATCAATTACTCTAATGCATAATATACAGTTGAGGATTCAATAAAAGAGATCGTGATCCACCATCATCCATAGGACAGGATAAATTAAAGAAGCTCTGTCAGCCTGAGTCCAATACAAGGTAGTAATGTATAACATTGATTTCAGGAACACCACTCTGGAACATATGCGAGGAAATATTACTGTGGTCATCACCCATAGTATTGAGATAGCTTTCAAAACTTTTGTCCAAAGAGATTTACTCTTAATCAAGGTTTTAATATTGGATATTGGGGATCGATCGGATGGCTAAAATCCTTATCAGATTGTGGATATTGGGAAAATATAAGGAAATATCAAGTAACATATTATGATGTGCATATATATAATATAATGTCCTAAAGTGTAATCTAAACACACCTAATGGAATCTAAGCATACAAAAATGTAAAGAATATAAACTTAGAAATATTAACCAGTTGTAGAAACTTACGTAAGGAAAGGAGCATACTAGAATTTTGCTAAAAACTTCATAAGGGCAGAATTTTTGCTATAAAATATTACAGAAATTTTGCTGAACTATATTGTTTGTTAGTATATGAAGGATGGGTCAGTTGATCTTAGAGGCAACCCTCTGCTCAGATCCAAAAGAGGAGGCAGGATTGCTTGTTCCTTTATTGTTGGTAAATATTTACTAACCCATCTCCTATTCTTCTTTTTCTCAATACCTTAATTAAACCTCCCGATGCAGTGTATGAGATATTTGAAAGGATGGAATACTATGGAATATCATCGAACTTGGTTTTTTGTAAACTTGATTTGAGAAGGAACTACTTCATTGAGATGTTTTGGTAAGAGACTCTGCGTGCGTGTGTGTAACAGATTATGAGCTGTAAGATAGTCCACCAACGGCCACCCATAGCCCACAAACATCAAACTTTTCGGGGAGATGTTGTAACATCTTACGTAAGGTAATGATTATATCTAACAGTACTTAACCAACAGGATGCATCAGGGCATTGTTGAAGCTGCGAACAATTTCACTAACTGGGTTGGGACTGCGTTCTTATTGCCAATTCTAGGAGCTTATGTGGCCGATGCACATCTGGGACGATACTGGATATTTGTTGCCGGATCAGCTATCTGCCTCTCAGTAACTTCAATTTGTTGTTTTCATCAGTAATATAAATATAAGTAGATGCAGAAGAACTGACGTTCTAGTAACTATTTGGTGCCATTAGCACTTAGAAACTTGGCTTCTTATTTCCCCTAATTCCACCATTGTTAACAATAATTAATGTTAACAATAACAAATACAACAACAAAGCGTTTGTTCCCTTTTTTTAAGGTTCAACTACATAAATCCTATTAGCCCATGCAAATATGTTAAGGCCAATCTCCTCAGTTAAGTTAATCATTATGACATTATCATAGTTTACAATAATAAACAATGAACAATAATAGAGGATTTCTAATATAAAGACTATTAATTTCTTCATAAATTAAAAAGAGTTTCTTAGATACAATGTAAACTTTTCGATTTGCGCCGACTGTGGAACAAACAATACTGAAAGGACAGTTACTGCTCAGTTTTCTGAATGGTCAAGTGGATTTTATGTATAATGAATAATTGAAACTTAAATGCAGTATCTATCCATCTAACTAGTGGAGTTTGCTTCTTATTAGGAAGCACATCACTTTCTCAGCTGGATTGGATCAACTTTGCTGACCAATTGGTCTTAGAAGTTTGACTGCAGCCTGTTTAACTTTTCCTTATCCGCTCTCAGCTTCTTGCTACCATCCAAAATGTACACAACTAAAGTGATGTGAACTTTGTGGTGTCTTTTCTCCTCTGTTTGAATCTTTGTACTTCTCAGATAAGTAGTAGAAATAAAACTTTTACTATGATACAGACGAAACTTACCCTGCCAAATATCAGTGTATCTGGTCCTTCGGAAAATGAAAGCTGTGTTCATCCATGTTAATGAACTACTTTTCACCATGAAAATGTAATGAGAGGGAGAATGTTAACCCCCCCGCCCTATCAAAAGAAAACCCCAAATATTACTAGGCTTAGATTCTTTTATATATGAATAATAGCCCAATGAATACATTTTTTTTGTAACAGCCCAATGAATACATTTATACACAAGTATACATATGTTCATTCTCTCAAAAAAAAGTATACATATGTTCAGGAAAAAAGCACAAATATATTACTGTCTTCATGTATAAATACAACCCAATGAATACATATATGAGTTAAATATACATACGATCAGAAAAAGTGCAAACATATTACTGTCTCCACGGATAGATTTTGGTCAAATGTTGAGTTTGGTACTCAGTGTTCATGACAGAGTGAAACATTCATAGGCATGCCTATGTGTTATAGCATTTTAATAATTAATGGCGGTTCCTGACGATCTTGTTTGTGCTAAGGCATGCTTCTTCTAACGCTAGCAGTTTCAGTATCACCATTCAAGTCAGCAAGGTGCACAAGCAACGGTAAGTCAGCCTCTATACTGCAGCTGGGTGCATTTTTTGGTGGACTGCATATATTTGCACTTGGAAATGGTGGAACCAAGTCCAACATCTCAACTATTGGTGCAGACCAGTTCAACGATTTCGACCACAATGAAAGGACTCATAAGTTTTCATCCTTCAACTAGTGGATGTTTAGCATTTTCCTGGAGTTACTTTTTGCACATACCGTATTGGTCTATTTACAGGATAATGTGGGCTCGACCCTTGGATATGGGCTTCCAATGCTGGGCCTTCTAATCTCTGTGGTGATTTTCTTAGGGGGTTCTCCATTTACAGGCATAAGTTGCCACAAGGAGGTCCATTTACTAAGATGACTACGGTCGTTTTGGCTACATTAAGAAAATGGAGAGTTCATTTTTCTAATGATCATAAGGAGTTTCATCAGTTGGACATGGAGGTTTACACAGAAAAAAAAGTTTAGGATAGACTCCATATCCTCTCTGAGGTAAGTAAACGCGTCAATTTTCCGGGACGATCAATATTTTTGGAAATTTGACTACACATAATATATATCCTCCATCTATGAACACATATTCCTAAATAATGCAGCGGTAAAAGATGGTCCAAGCACGCCATGGATGTTGTGTCCAATGACCCAAGTTCAGGAAGCAAAACAAATTATCAAAATGATTCCAGTATTGACTGCAAAGATCATCCGATGCACAATGATTGCCCAAATCAACACCCATTTTGTCAAACAAGGTACAACTTGAGGAGCTCCAATTCATATCAGACACGCGGTTTCCCTTGATGCTATTGGATCAGTGTTTTACAGATTCCCATAATATATTTTTGGTTTTTAGGAGGCCTACTTGTCTAAGTTCTCATAGTTTATCTTTTGTGTGCTCTGTACAGTTCGAGTTCTGCACTCAATCATTCTGTTGGCACTCTTGGTTATGTATGAGTCATACACTCCAAGAGGGGTATTTTTTTGTACTCGGCTTTTATTTATATATGTATGTTATGATTGTTTCTAGTTAAAAAAAAAGTACAACATTGAACCGTCACATGGGATCCCATTTCGAAATCCCACCAGCAAGCCTTGCAGCCTCGGTCACACCGTCCGTGCTTGTGTCCGTCCTGCTTTATGATCTTTACGTCGTGAAGATCATGAAAAGATGGACTGAAAATCCTAGAGGAATCACATTGCTACAAAGAATGGTAATTGGGCTATTTTTGCAGATCGTAACTGTTTGAGTCAAAAGTCGGTGCTGTTGAGGAATTCATTATAACTTTGTTCGATTACAATAAATTCGAAAGAATAATCTTTTTATAAGACTTTTTCTACACAACAAAACGAAAATTACAACTTTTGAGAAACAAACACAAAAATCGTCTATCGATCTTTGTT